CTAATTCTTTCCCAAGAAATGTGCCAGCTGGCCACAGATTTCTGACAACGGTAATTTATGGAAAGCTCAAAGACAGAATGAGCCTTCTGAGAAATGATAAGTCAACAAAAATTTTATTAATATTTCTAATAAAACTAACAGCAAAAAAGAGATAGAGCCTTTCATCGGAGAGTCCAACTCGGACCTAGAGTACCAAGGTATCCCTGATGACCATGCCGGTACGTACCTGTCAGGCAGTACCCACCTATAACTCTCTGAGATAAGTATTCAGTGTTTCTCACAGAACCAGTGATACTGATTCAACAGCACATATACCATTGTAGTAAAAATTAATATTGTTAAATATGAATTTGTCTTTACAACTTCACCAAAATTATGAATATGACAACAGAATAATATAAACATATCATTGTTCTTCTCTTGCTAGTATCCTGATAGAAAAATAAGGAATGGAGGCTTGAGAATCATAAAAACAGACCAATTCACCAAATAACCTATTCAGTCAATTCATTAACTATTTGGCATTAGTGACCAGTTTTTGTCTTTATAACAATACTTTAAGGAATATTCAATTTGTCTCTACTCCTGTTCTCTGCTATAACAGCTTGTGAACAAAGGTCAGAGAGTAGAAGACTATATTCTTAAGCCTTTATACATATATTCTTCTCAATTACATATCAACAAAGAATTCTTCATATTTAAGAACATAGCCTAATAAACATATTCTCTTTATTTTCCTTAGTTTACCTCTATATATGCCCCTGTTTCCAGGTGTACCTGTAGAGATCTGGAGAAATAAACTGATTTCCTTAAAATACTGTCATAAGGATAAACAAAACTAGTTAGCTTACTAAACAAAAAGAAACAACAAATGAGGTAAACTGACCATTCAGTAACTGGCTTAAGATAAACTTACTAGAATCAGAACTACTTACCATCTTAGACTGCAACCTAGAGCCCTACGAATGAGTAGGCATTCCTGAGCAATGTAGTACCAATATATGTTACTCAAACGAGTGGGTCATCACTATCCTTGTTTTAAAGGCAAGACTGATTCCAAAGGATAAGAACATTTTATGTCAGAAAGAGCTAAAATTCAGTCTCTGAAACTGAAACAAGATTTCTTAATCCCAAAGTGCTGACGGCTTCAGTTAAGGTACTAATGCAGCAGTTTTGCTGACTAGACATGGTATTCTTTGAAAAAGGATGTTACCTGAGGAGAAAGAAGAGGCACCTGCATAGAAGTTCAACATCTGAGCCCAGCTGAATGAATTCGTTAAAGAGTTTAAGAATGTCTGGGACATAGGAAAAAGGCAGCACGAGTAGAGATTCTTCCAGCTCACTGGAGAAAAAATAAATATTAAAAATGTCACATTTCTTAACATGGCCAATTTTTAAAACTTTCCCAGTATTATTTTTTTCTACTGATTTTATACTTACAGATCTGCCCCATTTAAAGTTTAAATATTCATTTGTATTCTAGATGATTCTCTCTTTCAATATTTTGTTTTTTATATTTAGTATTTTAATCTATTTGGAATGCATTTTGGTCCATGGCATGGTGGGGAAATCTGTTTTCCTCCAAATAAGCCATTTTTCCAAAGGCTTTTGTTGAATATTCCATCTTTATGTGATACTTCTTTTACCATATATTGAATTCTTATATATGACCGAATGTGTTTCAGGGCTTTTAAGTCTATTATGATAAATGATTGATTGATCCTGATACCAATCCTGCACTATTTTAATTTTGCTAATTTTATAGCCTTTTAATCTAGAAGACTAGCTCCCTCTAGAACCAGCTCTAGCATCACTCCATCAATTCTAATTAGAAATCTTAAGAAGCTTTCAACTGGGATCAAAATCTAATAATTAGTTTAATAAAAAT